GAAATTGTTGACGTATTTGGAACGAACACCAAAGAACCCACAACACTCTCAAAATTAAATCAATTGTCCTATTTGGAACTCACAGTGAAGGAATCATTACGTTTATTCCCATCCGTTCCGTTCATCGGTCGACTATCTTTGGAAGACATTGAATTGAGTACGTTGCTATTTTACAATACTTATTACAAAATTTGTGTAAATCATTGTTCATTTTTTTATTGTATTTCAGGTGAGAATCGAGTAATTCCAGCCGGTTCAAACATAATAGTTCCGATTTATTCCATGGGTCACAATGAAAAATACTTTGAAGATCCAGAAACATTCAAACCCGAAAGATTTTTGGGTGAACGATCGATGGAGAAACAAAATGCATTCACTTACATCCCATTTTCAGCCGGACCGCGCAATTGTATTGGCCAAAAGTTTGCTTTCTATGAAATCAAGAGCATTGTGTCAAAAATTCTACGTAATTTTGAAGTTGTGCTTACCAATGAATGTGAAACATACCCGATTTTGAGTGCAGAGCTTGTGCTACGGCCGGAAAGTCGAATAAGTTTCTATTTTAAGCCAAGGATTTATTAAAAAGATTTTCTGTATATGCAACAATCGTATATAAAGTGTATTTATTGGTTTGGTGTCATTGTGTAAAATTAAAAGAGAGAATTTGTTGTACAAATGATGTTTTATTCAGTTTTATTCAATTTTATGGGGTCAGTTTTGATTCATGTTGTATGTTCGATGTATCTTCAATTCATCGAAAATTATGTCAAGATTTATAGGTTATTTTTTTTTGTTTTTAGAAAATAATGGAACAGTATATAGGATTTGTTGATTATGATGAAGTTCAACGAAATCCTTCTGATTTAATAACAATAGTAGAATGATTTATACAAAAATGCAGTGGCTAAATTTCGTCATCAGTAAGTGTCAAATCGATTGTATTGTCATGCTCTGACTCTGGCTCTGGCTCACAATCACTCTCCGAAATAACGACCGGTGAACAGTTTTGAAATCGATTCGGCTGATGAATTGCAGAAATTCGTTCCTTTGCCGCCATCAGTTCTTTGTCATTCTTGTCGTCGACCAATAATTCAACAAATGCTTGTGATGTTTTGAGCAAAATAATTTCGATGACATTTTGATCGCCGGTAGTGAGTTGGTGGTGTTCATTTTCCAGATGTAAAATTATGTGTTTTTTTGTTAGCTGTATGTAGTTGCACAACGTACAAACATAACCATATAAAGTATTGTCCACGAAATCGAATGGGCCATTGATGCGATGATTTCCCTTTGAGTTACACGGTTTGTGCAAATCTTGGGTGATTTTCTTGGCACAAGAATTGCACTGGAATTCAAATTCGCCTGTAATCAAAAATTACATTTTAAAATCGATGGTTTTCTTGAAATTGCATCGTTTCGCCAAAGAATTGATTTCTCTTTTTCAAAGTTCGAAGTTCGGTTTATGTAATTATACAAAATATTGTGAAATCCATAACAAATACAATGGCCGTAGCGTGTAGTGCACGCCGAGTACAGTGTTGTAACGCTGGCTCAAGAGTACATCTCCATAAATGCCAAAATAACCTTTGACTTGCCTTTGAAAAACCGGAATCACTTAAATTTCGAAAGTATCAATACTCACCAGTGTGGGAAATGAAATGTAAAATCCACTTTGAGCTGGACATGTTGTAGCCTTCGTTGCAAATATAGCACAATGATCGGATAATTGTTTCAGAAGCAGTTTTTGTGATCAGCGGTGTGAATTTTGTTTCTTGTAATTCTTGCGGGTTGAATATGTTTGCCAATCGTGAGATCGAAATTTCTTTGTCAGAATGTGTTCGTACATAGTGTTTGGTGAGCTGCTTGAATCCTTTTGGTGCCTGATATGGACACAAATCACAAATTGTTAGCACATTATCGACGGTGTTGCGATGTGTATTTGAATTTGGAAGTGTTAATTCGTCAATTCCACATGGAGAATCATCTTCATAATCATCGTCAGATATGTCAACATCGTCCGTTGCCAATGATGTTTGTTGTTCTTCCAACAATGTTTCACGTTTCAACGATGCCGGAATATTTTCATCATCAAAAAAGTCATTGATGATAACTTTGGGTCGTTTGTGTGAATTGTCTGTTGACTGATCACAGACAACGGTTGAATTTGGATCGAACAGATTGTTTGCTATTTCCTCCAGGTCAACATTCATGCTAATGTCATGTAATTCGAAACTCTCGAAACCACTGACCAACGAAATATTCGCGTCGGTCAAATGTTCACCAGGCGCCGGCTCAACAGCAGTTCCTATCAAATAAAAATTGTTTTGAATTCAATTCGAAATAGAATTTGATTGCTAAAAATGAATCTACCTTCTTCTTGTTCACAATTTGGTCTTGTTGGAATATTGGCAGTTTCAACTGTACTCTTCTCTTCAACGGTATTTGTTGTTTCCGAGATCAAAACACTTTCGCATATATCCGGAATGGTTGAAATAACTGAAAAAATCGTAAAAGACAATTTTTTTTCTATCGAGCCTGATCCATCGAATTGAATACAAAAGATTTGTTTTTACCATTTTTATCGATTTTGTTATCATCCGTTTCATTTGCGTTTATTGAATTGGAGTCAATCTCGGATTGAGGAGATTGTGTAGCGGTTTGAATACCACTATCGACGTCCAATATTTGTGCAGCCAAAGTGGACGTGTCTGCTTTTTCTTCAGCCGGAAGCCCGTTGCTTTCGATCAGCGGATTTTCTTTTGTATTTTCAACAGCACACCGTTCGTCGGACAATATATCAGTTAGAGATTCTGCGATATTCGAAAAAATATATTTGCATTATAATCATTATCCGGAAAATAATCTGTGTCTTATGGAGTAAACGTCAGTTTTATATTTACCTCTCTCATGTACATAGACCTCGGATGCCTTTCGGACTGGCGAAGTCATTGCAGCAAGTTTTCGTTCGATTGAACCATTAGAAGTTGAACTCTTGTCCGATTCATTCAGATCCATGGGCTCTCCTGTTTCAACGTTGTCCAATGCTTTAATCGTTTCATTTTGTTTTGAAATTGAATCAATTGCCGGTTCTTGATTCAAACTGATCGTATTATTGGTAATTTTTATGACAGTTCCTAGTCGCTTAGAATGAACAACGCCGATTGACGGAGCATGAACAGCATCCGCATCGCTGCTACTGGATTTTTTGGAATTATGACTCGGCAGTTTAAATATTGGTCTCAATTTTGTCCTTCTTTTCTTTGGCGATTTTTTGTTGTTTCCACTCTGTGTCTTAACAATGGGAATGTTCTCTTGATCTGTGAATAACAATGAAAACCGATTGATGGAAAAAAATATAAACAAATGAAAAAGTGCTCAATCCTACCAGTGTCCTCTGTCAATGCAGACAAAATGACCTCCTTATCAACAGTTGGTGGCTTACCAAACAATGGACTTTCTAGAATAGAATTCATTTCGATATTGTTATTTTTTCGGTTTTCATTCTTCAATACTCCAATTCCGAATCGTGTACTTACTTTTCTTTTTTTTATCGATGGTCGGTGTTACTTGTTTATTTTTTAAATCAATTCTGATCGGTGGCACTTTTTCATCATCATTTGAAGTAGATTCAGTATATTTTTTACGCTTTGGTACCAATCGTACCGGTCGTTCCGGTCGTTTGTTCTCTGTGTCCAGTTTTCTTTTAGAAAATGCCATAAACGAATTGTCATCCGAGTCAATATCAGACTCGCTTAACGGACTGTAATCATTGATTTTGGTGGAATTATGTCCACTGAATAGGTCGTCGCTCGCATTTGGTGTTGAAAATGAAGACGAAAATGAGCTAGACGAAATGTCATCGGTTCCTTCATTGGAATCAAAAATCGATTTGGATTTGATGTTCGGCTGTGAAGTATTTTGTTGTTTCTTGGGTGGGGAGATAACTTTCCGAGGTGGAGCGGAAAATAAAGTTCTATCAATCCTGGGATCGGTTCGTGGAGCGGCCAAATGCTGTCGCTGTGCCTTTTGAATGGCTTTTTGTCGAACATGTGACAAACTTCGTTTAAACGAGCCATTCAAGTGTGGGCTTCTTCCTTGATTTTTGGCTATTTCCGATTTAATCACCATTTCGCCATAGAATTTGGGCAAAGCTAAACCATCGTTATCGTCATCATCAAAAGCATCATATTGTGATTCCGGTTTTCGTTTACGTGGATCCTTTGGCGGATCGATAAAGTCAATCTTTTCAAGTGGAATTTCGCTTGGCACATGAGGCACCTCTTCTTGTTTTGTTTCGACTTTTACCTAAATACAAAACATTAAATTTATTGAAAAAACTAGTTTTGGTCATTTGAAAATACAAATTATCAATTTTAATAACTCAAAAAGAAATAAAAAAAAATATCTTACCTTTGATTTTACTTCTGGCGACTTTCGTACTGGTAAAATTTCTCTTTGTGAAATAACGCGAATTGGTCGATATTTTCCCCCTTCGTTTATCAAAACTATGTCTTCGACAGTATTTGTCAATAATGAGCTGGGTGACAAGACGCGATGCGAATCATCTAGTCCAATCCGACTGATGTTTGCAAACGACGTGCTTTGTTGATCATTATTGTCTATTAATACCGAACTGTTTGCTTGCACATTTTGTGTGTGGTTTTCAACATGATGCAGGTGGTCTGGCCAGTCGTCACCATATTCACCTCGGTAATACTGTTTATAGAACAGTGTTTCGGTTCGAAATTTGGACACCGGTCGATCATCGTCACTATCACTGCTACTTGAGGATAATCCCCAATTTGAACTCATTTTGTCGCGCTTAAAATAATAGAAATAAAGGTCACTTTGTGTTTTAAAAATTCTCAATACTAAAATAGCGTACACGTTTATTTTTAACTAACTAACTAACGTTGTCTCTGCTTTGAGAATGACGACGCGAATGTGTTTGTCGCCACAAGCGTCAGTCACTATGACCGGCTAAGGAGAATTGATACTTAAATGTATTGGTTTATATTTCGTAAGAATTGTTCTGAAACGATAACAGCTTCAAGTCATAATTGTCGCATAAAATCGGAAAGAGTGAGAGAACATTCCAATGTGTTCACCATAAACGGTATTTTATTACATAGCATATTTGTTTGTGTAGAGTGTATATTGCTATTGTTTACAGTAAATCGTATTGCGCGCTAGACTTATTCGTATGCGGCAAAATACAAAGTCAGCGAAAAGGAAAATGCAAAAAAGCAATAAAATTATCAAACGAATGGTCCCGTGTCATAAATTATATATTTCATGCCTTAATTTCTCATTTTTGGGTTTTGCACATATTTTTATAACTCTGGTTTTTTTTTATGCTCTCCCATTTTTACCTAGATTGTACAAAATATATTGATCTTTTTCCATTCGGTTCGCACACCATAGTCGACATATTCAAATTTAAATCGTATAAGAATCGTTTATTTTATGCGGTGCAGCATCGCAGTTGGCAGTACTGTGAGTTCGGTTGAAATACACAAGAGAATTGAACGAAGTGAGCGAATGTGCGAGCGAGCGAGAGATAGGTGCATTGTGTAAAAAAGAGAAGTAACCCAGGTCAGAAAATATATTGCGACGAATACACGGTCGTAGCGCAACTCAATGTAAACTCTCTTGTACAACGAGTGACGTGCACGCATACCATCACATTTCCAATGAATACAGCTGAGCAACTTGCTTGAAACTCTCGCTTTCTCACATACACACACACAGCGAATAAAACGAAAATCCGTAGCAAAGAGAATGACACAATCAAGAGCGAACCTACGTTCGTCTCTTTCTTTCAGCGTTTATCCTCTTCGTCACTCTCTTCACGGCTTTGAAATTTTATTAAAAAAAAGTTCGACAGTCAATTTTTGCGTGCTTCCATTATCGATGTAAAGCATTTGTAAGTGCAAAAAAGTAAAATTAGTGCATATATCGAATCGCTCGAAGTGTAAATCCATCGAAATACAGCGGAAAAAAATCACGTCTAAAGTGACCATCGTATGGTTTACGCGCATTTTGTCGTGCATCGCATACGAGAAACACACAAACGAAACAAATATTAAATAAAAACGAAAATCCATGAGCACAATTGACGCGTCCAGTGTAAGTGTTTGCGATACATTAAACTCTGTTCTTCTTTTTTTTTCGTAATCAACAAAAAAAGAGTTCAACATTTTCGATATATAACACAACAGAATATTTTGCCGAATTCCATTTACGACCTTTACTATTTGTAATATTTCGTCCAAATCTATACCAAACACACATACACACAGTCCATATAGACGAGTAACGAAAAAAAGAAATGTAAATCACACAGCAAAAGTACGTTGAAAACAAACGTCTCATTATACAATAACCAAACAATAAAAAAAAGATGACTGATGTGAATGTTCTGACGCACTGATTTCAATATAGAAAATGGCAAAGAATGCATCAATGCTATTGGTAAAGTTCTAAAAATAGCACAAATAAATAACATGAAAATAAAAGAGTCCGATGCATAAAAAACAACAGATTTTTTGTTTCTCGTTCGGTGTATTGTGTTATTGTTTGGTGTTTGTCATCGAAGCGCATATAGTACGTTCGTTTGTTCGTATTAGGTTCTGCATTCGATGTATAAGACCTTCTACGTAATTTTACTAGTTTGATTAAGTGATGAAGCACGCAATGCGGTAAAAGTTGAATATTTTCTGATTGTCACAGCTGCTGCTTCTTTTCCATCGAATATTTCAGTTAGTGATTTTTGTCCGATATATCGAAATCAAATAATTTACTCCTTTCTTTTTCTTTCATTTTCTCTCTCTCTCTCTTTCTCTCTTTTTCTCTGTGTCCTTATCTTTCCAGACACTGGGGTCTGCCATTTGTAACCATATTTTTCACATGTTATATTTAATATCATTATATGAGTGTCGACGACTGTAAATTTAATAATCGCGATATGATTTTGCTGCGTTTTCTTTTCCTTGTCTGAATAAATATATATATGCATTTACAGGCTACTTCATATAATTGTTATTGCACGAAAGAAAGAAAACATTTTTGTTGTTGTTATGATCTGTTGACTGCGCTTTATCTTCCATTTGGCGAATGAGACATAAAAATCAATCGATTATGCCAAAAAAAATATGCCTTAAATAAATCGACTGTAAAATGAATGTAACTGTAAACAAAGCAATGAATGCGAGGCGGTTAAAAGTTTTGGTGATACAAATTAAAATTGCTGTGTAATCGATAACAAAATCAATCGATATTTGGCAACGAAAAGGAAGGACAGAAACATAAAAAAATAATAATATAGAATAACAGGCATCGAGAGTGATTTGGAACGGATCCATTGGGAAAGACTGACACACATATATGTACATAACATCTCACAAATACATAGTGTCTATAGATATCCTTCAGGCGCCTTCATGTTGTTGTTGCTCTTGAATTCATGGTTACGCGCGTGTGATGGAGCAAAACGAATGACAAATAACAACGAATTACATGGCTTATGTATTTTGGCTGCCTTGTTAACAGTACTGTGTCAGTGTCGATAGTTCAAATTATTTTCGTTCACTTTTGTGTGTTCGTCAACTGGTTTTTTTTTCCTTCTTGTTCACCGTGTTAACATATATGAATGAATTTGCGTGGGCCATACACAAATTCTATAATTCATCCACAGAGTTGGAAAAATCTCGTTGTTAAGTATTAGTGAAAAGAACGGTGTTTATTATTGAGAATAATGGATATGAATGGTTCGCACGGAGCAAAATATATTTCAGTGACGATAACACGCAATCTAATTTACATACATCAAACGGGCAATTGATCTTATTGGGCCCAAACACAAATTTATGTGTGAAATTCGTTTCTTTTTTGATACGAATAAATTAACCCAAGCTGCACGAATTAAGGAAGCGCTACCCCATAAAAGAAACGTAACACTTTTTTTTGCGCATGAAATACACACTCTTCCTGTCGTTATATACATTTAAAATAAACTAACATTTCTTTCACGTATCGATTCAGTTTTGAGAAGTAACCAAAAACTACACACAAAAAAAATGTATAATAAGTTAAATGGCTACACTCCATTTAGGTCGAGGTAAATTAAATAACATATCAAATGATCCACATTTTAGTCAAAGTATTTTTAAAATCATTGTTCATGCAAACAAAAATCAATAGGTCATGCATATTTCTTTCTGTTCCGCCATCAATCATCTCCATCGCTTTTTCCATCTTGAGATTTATTTTTATTGGTTTAAGCATGTGGTTTTCCATTCATCTTGAACAGAAACACTTGAAATCGGTCATTAAATAATGGTTTCAATGCGCTAGAATTCTAGTTTTATATTTTTCGTTTGAATTTTAACATTCGTTCTTTATTGTAATAAAAACAAAACCGAAATCTCATTCATTCAATTGCTTGCTTACCATCAGTTCTTTGTTATTTCATGCTCATTTCTGTCATTCATTCTGCTTTGTCAAGTATAATTCATCCAACGTTAAGTACCGATGTTTATGGTTGGAAGACGCATAAATAATGCTGAGACAAATAATACCATGTGTTGAAAATCGGATTTATGTGAGCGTATAAAATTCTCGGTGTTCTTCAAGCGATTACACATACTACAGTCTTCGACCACATCGTATACGCTCATGTTTACGAATTTTTGTAGCATTTATGCGTGTATCACACAAACCACATTTATTTTGCTTTTCATTTCGTTTTCATTTTGCTTTGATTATTCTGAAGTGATTGTCGTAGTATGCTTGCACATTTCATTACTTGAATCTCACTTGAATACATCCCATTTTAATATTTTCCTTTTCTTCTTTCTATGTTTTCTCTATTTTTAATGCGTATTAAATTTCAATTCTTTAAAAATTTAATTTTTGATCGAACAATTAAAATGCACACACACAAATTACACATAAACACACATATATGCATAAACACGAAATGCCAAATTCGTGTCCATAAATCAAACAAACAAACAAAAAAATCTTCTCTTTTCAAAATTATTGATAACATTATAGTAGCGGCCGAATGTGGGGAATGTCACATTCGATGCCAACGGGAATGGTAAGTGATTGATTTGCCTTTAATTCGAAACATAAACTATGATTCGTTATGCAAAACCGTGGGTTTTTGGTGTTGATTCAAATAGTAAAGTTCGTAAATAAAACAAAAAAAAAATCAAATCGAAAAATAGAAACAAAAAGTTCGTCGAATTTTCTGTTGTTGTTAATGTTAATGTCTCTGGATGTTTACGTTGTAAGAATTCATTTCAATCGACCATTTTGCAATTTTTTTTCCTAATGAATTTTTTTTTATTGTACTTTTTTTTTAGTCGAAACGAACATTTGATTCAACACCCAGAGCCTAAGCGTTTGCGTGAACAAATTTTCGTTTTCCAAGTTCAAATTCGTTGCAATTTTTCAGTCACTTTACGCTGACCATTTTACACCATCGCATACATCGTTTACATCACAATCACTGTGCGATTACCAGGATACCGATTTTTCATCACAGTATTTGTCGCGGCATCGATTTGATTATCCATCGAGTAGTAGTTCCTTTGGCGCCGGCGCATACATGTCTACATCAAGCTCACATTCATTAGGTATCGGTGGTAATGCCGATACAGCCGGAACAAATTTGATTGTTAACTATTTACCGCAAGATATGACGGATCGAGAGTTATACTCATTATTTCGTCATAGTGGACCCATTGAATCGTGTCGTGTGATGAGAGATTTTAAGGTGAGCGGAAAATATGACGACAAAAATAGCAAAGATTCGACTTTTTACATTGAGATAAATATGCCACTGATTTATTAGCGCAATCTCTTTAGATTTTACATGCATTTCTTATAATTGGCACATTTGTTGACAATTGCTACCGCTGCATATGCAAATGCTAGCAATTTTCAAAGGAATTGATTTGTTTATTCAATTAGAGTGTCATGTGAGATAAATTATACTCATATACTTTGTTTCTTTTTTTTTTGCAGACTAATTATAGTTTTGGCTATGGTTTTGTGAATTTCGTCAGCGAAAAAGGCGCAAGGCAAGCAATCAAGACACTCAACGGCATCACGTTACGAAACAAACGTCTTAAGGTAAGATTTTTTGTCATTTTTGTGGCATTCAATTCATTTAAATTATAAATGAAATAATTTACGAATTTCATTGAATTATTCTCAAATTGCCAGGTTTCATTCGCTCGGCCTTCGGGTGAAGATATTAAAGATACAAATCTTTATGTGACAAATCTTCCGCGAACTGTAAATGAGGATCTAATCGAGACAATTTTCGGCAAATATGGTAACATCGTGCAGAAAAACATTTTGAAGGATAAAATTAGTGGTAAACCACGAGGAGTTGCTTTTGTCAGGTATGTGTATTGTATTGTTGGCGCCAAAATGCATCAAACATTCTCTAATCGGATACAATGTCTGTTTTTAATTATCTAGATTTAATAAGCGAGAAGAGGCACAAGAAGCAATTTCTGCATTGAACAATGTGATACCGGAAGGTAGCAGCCAGCCATTAACCGTGCGCATTGCTGAAGAGCATGGCAAACAAAAGGCGAACCTATTCTATGGGGGACAATCGATGTCACCGATGAACATGATGAATAACTACATGAATTTTAATCAAGTGCCGTCGTCCAATGTGATGCGTGGAGGTAGAGCACGTTACCGTTTTCAAAACATGTGCCCATATTAGATTTGATCATATTTGCCGGTTATTATTTATAGCGCTGATATAAATGTCAAGATAACTAAATTGAGAAAAAAGCACCCAGCTGAATGAAATGTCAAATAATTTATAAATGATATGATGTGATTAGAAATCAGCTAAAAATTCACAAAACCATAATTAAAACATCAACAACAACCACAAAAAAAATCTCAGAAAAACTGAAGCAAACACAAAGTTTCAAAGGAAATAGCGTAGGAAAAGCGCTCCTCTTGATATTTATTCCGAGAATTTTTCTCGAAATTCATTTGACACATTTAGTTTATAACAATGACCTTTCTTATCATCTTTCTTTTTTTTACAATTTAAAGTTTTTCCTTCTATTCAAGGAAAACATTGCAAGACTAAGTTGAATATGTCTGTTTCAATCTATGAAAGTGAATTCATACAGGAAGACGGTCGGAATAATTGAATCTATTCGTAGCGAACATTTAAATTCACAATTAAATTGATGTTATTATTATTTTTTCGTCATTGCTTTTTTCCCTTTTAATTGATGCCGCCGTCAAAATAACAAAAACAAGAAAATGAGTGGTGAATGATTAGTGATTTATTCTCGTGTAGGTTTTAAGATGCTTTTTATGGATCTTTATCGTTTCGACTATTATTTTGATGTAATTCCCATATAAACATTTTTGATCGCGATTATATAAACGGAAGAAGATAAAGGGGTATGAATTTTAAGCGGTTGGCTGATCAAACAAACCTAAAAAAGAATAAAGATAATAAATAAGATGAATTTCACACTTTGTGGAAACAGTAGTTGGCTTCAATTTTGTTTTAATTTTTTTTGTTTTTTTTTTTTATTTTTTTTTAAATCATTTTTTTCATCATTATTATTTCCGTAAAATAAGATTTTTTTTATTTACAGCCGCTTAGCGCTCGCATTTTTAAAATGCATAAAAAGTTCTCATATGCATTGAAAAGTGCTTTAAGTAATTAATTTTTAGTTATCATCAGCAGCAGTCTAGTCAGTAAATGCTTGAATTTTATTTTCCGACATTTTTTTTTTTGAATGCCACAGACGTTATGTCTATCTATGACAGCAACAATTTTTTTATCAAAAAAAACCTCCCGTGTTAAGGTCAAAAAGAACAGTGAATATCCTTGAACAGATGGAAATCATACTTTAATATTTGTGAAGCGAATGATTACATTCGAGACAATTAATTGCTCTTTATTTCTTGTTCTCTCTTCTCTATTTCATGCTAACAAAAACCTCAAACTAAAACACAAACAAAAAAAATCTATTCGCATAATAAATGTCGCCCTTTATCGCATGAATTGTTGAAAATCAAAGCTGGATCGGATTTATACAGCAGGAGAAAAAATTATCACTATCTGTACTAACCAAAAATAAAAAACAATAACAAAATCGTTACGATTTGGACAAAATACAATACCGTCATCAGCAATCACCAGAGATAAATCCAATACCCTATCGGATGTCTTTCAATAAAAACCGTTTAAAATACACACAATGAAAATAACAATCAATGCAATTACATAACGATATAAAAATTTATAACAAAATAAAAATGAAAAGAAGATACAAAAAAATGAACAAATGCTAACGAATACAATAAAGCGTACAATTGTAATAAATAAGCCCAAGGATAATATCCCGCTAGCAAAAAAAAACAAACCAAAAACAAATTCAAACCAAAAAAATATGTGTAAATACACAAAAAAATTGTTAAACACTAAATTTCACTTGTAAATCGATCGAAACAAAATATAATTGCTCCTCTTCGATTTGATAATAAGTTTGTTATACGATGATGCATACAAAGAAAAATGAAATCCAAAAATATTTGAAAAAAAAAGTAAAAATAACTATTAATACTATATTGTTGAATTCAGTTAAAAAATTGTGACCAGGAAAGGTATATCAAATACTCGCGACAACCAATGAAATTCCTTCCAAATGCATTTAATTCAAAGATTTAAAAAAAACCAAACGATCTTATGCTAAAACTACGTACTATTCGACATATGTTTTTTCTTTCATTAAATCCGCTATTTTGATTATTTTCTGTCATACTGTTCGAATATTATTGAGGGAAAAAACAGAAGCCAGTACACGTGTTATTCATTGTCCCTTTCCAAAGAAATAAATAATAATTTAGTAAATAGGAATAGCCTCAAACCATTTTGTGTTGGTTTTAAAACGAAATTAAAAAAAAAAATGTATCATATGTCGATAATTTTCCAATATTTCGAATTCCAAATTGACACCGTTAGCACCGTTAGCCTTTAGCAGAGTAGAGTAGAAATAAAACGCATATGTTATAAATAGCTAAACCGGACACATTTATCCAATAATTTATAACAACTGAGAAAAAAATAGTATTCTTCTGTTTAGATTGGATGCGATTCAATCGATGTGAGACATAAAATCGAATTTTCAGCCAATTCGGATTTCTTTTTTATTTACCAAAATTAAAATTGTTGATAAATGACGCCAATATATATATTTGAAAATTGGCCCCGATGAAATCGGAATGAATTACAATTTTTATCCGCTTTTTAAATGATGATGTTTAAAGATAAGGCTCGATCTGGGACTGTAACCGGCACGAATCAATGTCATTTTACTACCATACAACGAAGTAGCAAAAGTAATTCAATTGAACGCATTGTTTCAAATTCGTGTAGTCACAATTATTATTGTAAACAGAAATGAACGGGAATTGGTTATTCCATAGGCTTTTTTATCGATCATTATTTTTCTGCATTCAATGTTAAGTAATTTTTTCAGCATTTTCAACTCAAACAAACGCTTAGATTTTGACTATTGTATTTAAACAAAAAAAAGGCAAACATTCACATACACACATACACTGTTAGTTTGACCTATTGTATTATGTAAAAAAAACAACAACCAAAATTGTTCTTATTATTTATGGAATCCAACAAACAAAAACTATATTATATCAAATAAAAAAAAAGTATTTAACTGAACCGAAAAGGTAACTCTTTTGCATTTTCTTTGCACGCAACAGAACAATTGAAGCAATATGACAAAAAGAATGAAAAAAAATCTATACTTTTAGTATTTCTACTAGAAATTTCGCAAGCAATGAGTTCCAAGTGTCGATTAAGGTTGATGCTTCATTGGAACGTCCATGTTTCGAAGGTTTTGAAAGGTTCATACGGGTGCTTCAAGACCAGTTATCGAGAAAAGTTAAAAAAAATGCTCCAGTGATAAGGATGTTTTAACAGCAAGTTTTTAAATCGAACAGAATATTTGTCGGTATCGGTTGGTGTTTAAAATTTGAAATCTGTTCCAAAGATATTGCATCGACAAATTAATAATAGAACGAAACTATAAAGAAGTTCCAATGGAAAATGATATCGCGATTGTAAAATTGAAAAGAAAAATTGATTTCATTAATCCCAAAAAATGTGAATAAAATTGAGTTTTCAGATGAACATATCCTGTTTCCAAACACGTCTCGTCTAAGGGTAGCAGGGTGAGTTTCCTTAAAAGTTTTAAATAAATATTTTTGTAACATGTATTAGGTGGGGTGAGATGTATGGTATCATTACTGATAGTAGTACTCGAAAAGAACGTTATTGAATCCAATCGGTTTTGTTAAATAAAAAATGCAAAAAAAAAACTTATAGCAAATCCAAAATCAAAGCTGAAAAAGTGGATCAATCGATCAAAGTAATTAGAACCTTTCTGAAACCAAGTTGAAAGCACAATATTTCTCTGCTTCTCTTCTTATTTTCTCTTGAGAAGAAAACAGTTCAACTAAAATTCATTTAAATAATTTTATTTTCACAATTTTTTCATCATCATTACTAATATGTATCAAGAATTAACACAATTGAATACAATTTAATCCCATTGATATGGCTTTCCCGGCGTTGGAAGTCCTTGCATTCTTGTACCTTTTACTTCAGCTACTTCAGATTCACTGAAATATATGCAAAAATTATATCGGTTAAAATGACACTCTCATTAACACTTCGATAGTAACAATAATATCAGGCATACCCAGAACCGAGAAGAAGATTTTTCGTTAGATCAATTGGTGGGGTAACTTCTCGGCGAGGATCGCGATTCACATAGTAATTTGCAGACAATCTGAAAACAAAACCAATCAATTCAATAAATGCATTTTATTAAAAGTAAGTAAATTCAAAAGTAATTAAGCGGAATTAAAAGTAAGTAAATTTACTTGTGAGCTGGCCCATGTGGAATATTTGGTGGTGGTTGGTCTCTTGCTGAGCATTCTACATCGAATCTCAAAGATGAAGTGTTATGGCGCTGTTTGAAAAGAGAAACAAACACATATGAAAAGCTTTGATGAATGTTTGCATGTCTATTTACAAAGCAAAAGCAATAGTACGGTATCAATGTTGTCACTTTCGTAAATTACATAACTCAAAACAGATAAATTCAATGCTCAAATTTTTCACATTAATTTAATGATTGATTTTACTTACACCCAACAATACATTCCTCAATATTCTCAAATAAAATCCAAGATCACGTTTTGCCACTTGTGCCATTATTAAGCCAATTTTATTTTATAGAAAAACAAAATCCGATACGGAGATCTCTATGACTTCTGTGTAGAACGATGTCAAATTGACAGTGACAGCTATACTTGTGAATAATATTCACTGAATATTGTGTATTTTAGCGCCACCAAACAACAAACGAAACAACTATGTCACAGACAAAAATTTGAAAATGTTATACATGGCATTTTATTTGGAATTTTTGTGATTTATTTGAATTTTTTAAAAATAACATATAAAAATTGAATTTTTGTAATCATTTGCGATGATTATTTTATTTTAGCAATATATGTGTGCCATTGAATGAAAATATGTTCATTTTTCTGTGTTTCCATGGTGGTCAATCAATTTAATCAATTTTTATTTTGAAAATTTTGCTTCATCTTTAAGTTATCTTACGACTTTATTAATTTGGCGAGTTTGAGTGTTTCAAACGTTTCAAACATATTCAATATGTTTTCTTATAAATAAAAAAAAAAAATGATGAAACAAAAGTTTATGATAAATGAGGTATTTTGTTTGTAAACTTAAAATTTTGATTGAGAGATATTACTCATTTGGCTCTAGTTTAATTTCCATTAATGGTAAATGAGTAATTGTGACATTCAGGTGCTTGAAATTTCCAGATTCTCGAGCTGTTGATAAGAATTGAATTTTGAATCGGTCAAAGGGTGATTTGACATTTATTCCAATAATGTTCATATAAATTGGATACTCACTCGGTGTTGCTGTTGTCGTTGTTTTCTGTGACATCTTAACCGATTCAACCTTTGAAGCTGGAAATAATAAAAAATCAAATGACATGAAACAGTTAAAAAAAATTATACATACCCGATGATGTTATTGTGACAGTACGTGCAACAGTACGTTCCACTTGTGTAACAGAAAATTGAATTGTCATTAATACTTTAAAGAATATGAATTATATTTTAAACTCACCCGATGACGATATTAATTTTTTGACATTTTGACCAGCCAATTGCATTCTTGGACAACGTTCCCTTTGGATGGTTCTTTTTTGAACGGTGTCGATCGATTGACGATAATTTGAAGATTGCCGTGTTTGGCGTGTTTGACGTGTTTGAATCTTAAAATGAATATCATCATAACGTGAAATTCTTTTCGGAGTGCGCTTGTTTTCGCTGGGTGGTGAAACAACAAATCCATCGCTGTATGTGACCAAAGCCAAGAGTTCCCTTTGCAGTTTCGATGCATTTTTACCTTGACCTTTTACACTTTCAACCACACGATTGACAATTTTCTTCGGTGCGGCCACTTTGTTGGTGGTTTTTGGCGTAAAATAGACGGTTTTCGATGTTGACGTTGTCTGTTGTTGTACACTTGTTTTTGCTGTCAATAATGAATACGTTTTGGTGATATCGGTGGTTGTTTTGCTGGTTGTCGGTTGAGATGTTGCTTTTTTATCATTACATTGATAATAACAATATTTCTCGACCTCTTTCACAATCAATGTGGTCATTCTTTCATTTATTCCGGCGTTTACCTTAAAGTCAGTCAAAATTCCTGAAATCTTCCGTTTCAATTTCATTTTGACCGACATGTTTAAGTTTGGCAATGCATTTCTTTGGCCGGCGATCAAAGTTTCCCCCTGATTCGTTTCTGAATAGCATTGTTTCGATGATGTACTTTGATACTGCGTGCGGGAATGAGAATACGAATGATCGATTTCACTTCTATGTTCATAACGATGTGGACTTGATGCTGTTGACCGTGACTTCAGTGATCGCTCTTGGCCCGACATTCTTCATATAATTGACAATTATCCTGGTTTACTGTTGAAATACAAGAAAAACTTCAATCAAACGTGTTATTTACAAAGAATAATATGCCATGGAATGTATCGAGTTTGAATGAAAAATTAAGCATTAATAAATTGCATAAAAATCAGACGAAATACGATGTACAAATCAAATGTTTGCTTCTTTAATCATATTTTGGATAACACCATTCAGTCATAACCTAAAATCACACCACGTATTTCTGTCTTCTTTCAACTGTAAATTTTTCAACAATAATTCAATGTACGATATATTCGATTTTTTTATGCTTGAAATCATTTAAAAAAATTAAAAATGAACTTGGAAAGCACTTACAAATTGTTTTCACCACGTTTGAACTTTGATAACGTGAATTGCCGGCATTTGGATTAAATAAAAAAATGCACTGCTTCTCTGACAACGCGCGCCTTCTTTGTATTATCCACACAGACACACGCTCTATTCGAATAAATTGTTTGCATACAATTTTCTGCTGACATCAAACGGCGCAATATCGAACAAAAGACACAAAATGACGGAGAGATAGAGATAGAGACAAAGACAAAGAGTAAAAGAGTAAATAAACTTGCAAACCAAACAAATGGCGACGGAGTTGGTTTTCACTCTTCTTGCCTCCTTTTTTTGAAATTGGTATAAATAATAATAAACAAACAGTTAGTGAGCATATTCGATGGTGCAAGCGTTTCATAAAGCAGAATAAAAAAAAAACGTATATAATTATCGAACAATCGTACACACAAATGAGCAAATATACATAGATTCATTTTTCTTCGCGTATAATTTGAATGTTTCAAATGAGATGTGTATTTTAAGTGCCAAATGCTTTGATTGGAATATAAAGAATTTGTCTTGAATGCATGAAACTCACACCATAAATGTCGATCAAGTGCCAAGAATTCAGAGGAATTACTTTAGTTTTTGTTTGTATTGAAGAATTTCATTTGGGTGTATTTTGTTTTTGGGCTTGAAAAAGCTCGAATGATCAAAGTCTGTGAAAAAAGATACGATGTAATTTAATATACATATAGCAAATAAACATTTTATTTTTTTTATTTTTTCATATGTTGATTTGTTTGTCGTTGATAACTCAATTCGAATAAACAAAATTATATAATGACCTCACTCACTTCAAAATGATCAACCCGTATTTATTATTCAATGCAGTATAAATATTGTATTTCTGCAAATTTCTCGTACTTACCAAAAATACTACAGTACTGTACTTGGTTAGTATGCATTGTGTCTTGTAATATTGGTGATTGAAAATTTGAAAAGCGTTACTTTATTCACATTTAATATGAAATGATAAATTAAATTATGGTACTTTTCTGGTCACAAACAATTTCGCGTGACTTATTAGAAAGAACTCTCACAACAGTTCAAATATTTTTATAATTTCCTATTCTCCAACTAACAGGGCACCTAATGTGCCAATTTAAAAAAGACAATTTTAAAACCTGATCATTTCATATATGAACCCTTGCTTCCTTCATCGATGGGAAGGTGTGTCGATTTAAAAATACCTTTAGCCACGGTTCATCAGCGATGACAATTAAAAGATTTGGTGCATCGGAACATTTGATTAGCTCACTAACATCATTCAAACCATTTTAATTTCGGTCAAGTAACACGATGATTCCACCTTTTTCGACAAAATAAACAACAACATATTCCAGCTGGCTCTAGAGCCCAAATACCATAACTTTATTAGCCAAACTCATTTTGAGATCTCTTTGAAATGTAAAAAAACATCACGTTAGTTTAATTGCGTAATATTCATTGATATGATACGATGCGATGCATTAAATGATTCTATTTCTATTTCCAAGCAAAAAATCATGGATTCTGAATTTAAACTTAACCGAAACGGTAAGTTTCAAATTTTGACAGCAAAATGCTAAACATAAGCCTATTTTTCCAATTCGATTCGGTGTCGGTTTTCGCTAAAGTCTTAAACAAATATTAATATTCAAATGGATTTGTTGCCTATAGCAACTATACTATCAAACTTTCAATAAAATAAACTATGTATTGAAAATACAATTGCATCAAATGAAGTCGACGTAAAAAATAAGCCGCTATATTTATTGAATAGAAAAATGTGAGATTTTTATTCGATTATAATATCATGATAAGCAATTTTTATTTTCCCGCTGTTAAAGCACCTGTCAAAGATAAGATAATGGAAAATGTATTTTTAAACGTTTCAAGACTTAATGTGTAGTTAGTGTCTTACCGCCGTCTACAGCAAATAGTGCACCAGTGATGAATGAAGCCGAATCACCGATCAAATACTCTATTGCGGCCGATGTATCATCACATTCACCTACACGTCCCATTGGATATATATTCTTGAAGCTCTCGAAAAACTCCTCAGCCTGTTGTGGACTTTTTCCCAAGCCTGTTTCAAAAAGTGGTGTCCGCACAGCGACGGGATTGATTGCATTGACGCGAATGCGTTTTGGAGCTAAATCCAATGCGGCGCTCTTTGTTTTACATTAGAAAAAATTACAAAAAAATATGAAAAAATGAAATCAACCGCACAAAATTAGAACAATTCAAATGAAAATTGACAGCTTACCTTTGTCAACTGATTAACAGCGGCCTTCGATATGCAATAACTAAGAAAATTGGGTTTAACACGTAATCCGGCTGCACTCGAGACGTTCAAAATGTTTCCCTTTGTCTTTTCCAAATGTGGAATGGCTAATTTCGTGAGTTCAATCACAGCACGTACATTGGTGTTCATTATCCAATCGTACTCAGCCAAATCAACATTTTCTATAGAATCTTTTGACATTATACCGGCATTGTTAATTAAAACGTCCAATTTACCGAAATGATTGACTGTTTCATCAATGATTCGCTGAACATCTTTTGTAACATCAGCAACAATGGCCAGTGGTATTGGTGCACCGGCAGTTTTAATTCGTTCAACAACTTCATTCAATCGTTCTTGATTACGACCAACTAACGAAACACTTGCACCTTTTTTAGCTAAATGTTCGGCGGCATGAGCTCCAATGCCGGAACTAGCACCAGTGATTAAAATTACCTTATTTGCAAAACTCATTTTCTGATTGGAACTACGCTGCTTGACGTTCAAATGCGAACTGTTTGACGTGTGTCGATGAGTTATAAATTATGACAATCACTGAACTACATGAATGACATTTCATATTTTCATTGTTGTGCGTTTATTCATTATTAATTATCTACGACTATTATGCAGTTGCAATAAACATTTTATTTGATAACATGATATCGGTGGAAGATTATAATATTGGAACTGTTTGTAGTTCTTTCTTCTATTTAAACAAATGACTTTTTTATACTTTTTCTTTTGTAATTTTTGCATGTAGGTTATGTAAAATAACAAGAAATGATATTGAACATAATTTTCGAAGAATTTTACAATTTATGTAGAAGAAGACCGCCTCCATCTACAAGAAACAACGAGCCAGTGATGAATGAAGCTGAATCTCCAATTAAGAACTCAATTGCAGCTGATGTATCGCTACATTCGCCAATACGACCAACCGGATAAAGTTTCTTGCAACTCTCAAAAAATTCCTCTGCATCTTGCGACGACATATTTTCACCCGTTTCAAATATTGGCGTACGTATTAGGGCTGGACATATAGCATTTACTCGAACTCCCTTTTGTGCCAAATCCAATGCGGCGCTCTTGAATGATCATTTTAAATAAATTGCATGAATATACGTTTGAATTTAAAAGCACTTTTTTAATTACCTTTGTTAGTTGATTGACGGCTGCCTTTGAAATGCTGTACGCCAGTGAATTTGGTCTGACACGAAAACCGGCTATACTGGACACGTTTAGTATGTTTCCCTTTGTCTTTTCTATATGTGGAACCGCCAATTTCGTCAATTCAATGACACTTCTTACGTTGGTTCTCATGATTCGGTCATATTCAGCCAATTCGATATGTGCCACTGTATTACGCGAAAGAATAGCGGCATTATTTATCAATACATCCAATTTCCCAAAGTGATTCACCGTCTCATTAATAATACGCTCGGCATCAGTTACAATATCTGCTCGAATAACCAGTGGAGTTGGTGCATTTGCATTCTTTATTTGATCGCTGATTTTGTTCAATCGTTCGATATTACGACCAACCAAAGCAATATTGGCACCTTTTTTGGACAAGTGAACAGCGGCATGAGCACCAATTCCGGAACTAGCACCAGTTATTAGAATAACCTTATTTGCAAAACTCATTTTTAATACAGATAATTCTTATACGTGTCGGAGAAAAAATCAAACTGCGTATCTAATCTACATTCGATAGTCTTATCATATAAAAATTAACCATTCTATCAGCTGTCATTGACTATGAAGCTCACAAAGTTGAGTATTTCTGTTTTCAGGTTTGATTTTATATGAATCAATTCAATCCAAATAAAATCATTTTTGCGAATCAATGCATAATTTGGTTTTATCGTTAACTTGAAAGAAATTCTCAATAAAAAGTCAATATTCTATTTTTTTTTTTTTCGAAATTCGAAATCCAATTAATTATTTAAATTTTTAAAACTTTTTTTTCCCGCGACTATTGCGTCGCCATCTATTTTAAAAAGATCAGATAATTTGGTATATTCATATCTTTCGGCTATGATTTGATGTATTCAACTTAACTATGAAGCTTTTTGATAGTAGTTCAATTGAATTCTTTGTAGTTTTCAAATTCTCTTTATTCCCAATTATCAAAATTGAAGAATATATTTAAATGAATTTGAATACTTCAGTCAAAGCCCGCTACTAATGCGCCGCCATCAACATTCAGAAGAGTGCCGGTTATAAATGAGGCTGCATCGCTTGTGAGGTAAGCTATAGCTGCAGATGTATCACTCACTTCACCAATTCGTCCCAATGGATAACGTGACTGATATGTATTGAAGATGGCTTGTTCTTCTTCGCTGTCAATTCCGAGTGTTCGATAAATCGGGGTGCGAATGGCCGCCGGGTTAATTGCATTGCATCTGATATTCCTTGAAGCCAAATCCAAGGCAACACATTTAGTAAACTGATCGAGGCTAGCCTTTGAAATGCAGTAAGACATCAAATTGGCAACAGCTTTCATGCCAGCTGTACTTGAGACATTCAAAATATTGCCCTTTGTCTGCTCAAGGAATGGTATTGCCTTTTGAGTTAATTGAATGACACTTCGCAAATTTGTATCGATCATTTTATCAAATGCTTCCATTGTAATGTTCTCAATATTGTCTTCTGTTAAAATGCCGGCATTGTTGATCAAAACGTTGATCTTTCCAAAATGTTCGACGGTTTTAGATATGATTTTCTCACAGTCTCTGGTTACATCGGCAACAATCACAAGTGGCGTCGACGATCCATTGGAAATTATTTGATTTTTCACATCATTCAATCTCATCTCGTTACGTCCAACCAAAACAACATCTGCTCCCATTTGTGCTAAGTAAACTGCGGCGTCAGCTCCAATTCCACTACTGCTACCAGTTACGACAACAACTTTATTTTTGAAATTCATTTTTTTCCGGAGAGAAATAGCTGAAGAAAACCACTCAATGAAATAACTAAACTTTGTATTCAATCCAAACCTTTATCAATTCACTGATAAGAAACAATATCGCTTTAAAATGAAATGTCATCCGATCCAAAAGTTAAGTGGTGTTTTGTGTGACATCTATCAAATTTTTTTGAACTTCATTACTTTTGCGCACACCAGAGCAGCGAAACAAACAACTACGCGCACCGACTACGTGCACCAATGTGCAATCAATGGCAATTTTTGGTCCACTGAGTAAGGTAAAAATATATTATTCTAAAGGTACACTTTAGGTAGACTTGATTAGGACTATAAAAACGTGGAGACTAAAAATAGTTTCCGTGTTAGTGAAGCCTAGAGGCAAGTTGAATATACAGAAATATTAATCCATGAATATTTTTTTCAACTTCGAGGTACACTTTTTTTGTTTTGTGGTATACTTAGAGTTTAAAAAACGACCTCGCCGGCATTTTGAATATACATCCCACGTTTTGGGTGCGTGTGGTGGTTTGTATCGCTGCTCTGGCGCACACCTAGTGTGGGGAAGGTATTGTATTAGACCAAAAAAATACAGTAACCGCAAAACGTTTTTAATCAATTTCGTGAGATTCTATCGCAGTTTTCTAAAATGTGCGAAAAGACAAAAAATGACATTGCCAAACGCATGAAACTCATCATATCCGACATAAAAAAATCGAAAAGTCTGACGGTATTAAAGCCTTTAACGGTGCGACAATTTTATGGAAAGGTGTAAAAGTTCAAGAACCTAAAGGCACCAGTCGTAAAGATTGGGTTAGACGTGAAAACCGATCATTTGAACGACAACGAGGAGAGGGAGATGCAAGATCGAATGACTTCCAAGTACGTGAGCAGAATGGTATTATTGTATGGTTATTATCGAGCGCGGCTATACATACCATTAGAATTGTGGCCCAAAAATTGGCTTGTATCGAATGATTTTCAAATGCTTGAGGCTGATATACGCCCAAATGTTCATAGATTTTTCGTGTCGTTTGAAAAATGTTCATAATTTTGTTTCTGAATATTTTTGATTCAACTTGAATTTGAAATGATTGGCAAACGTTTCGATGGTTTATTTTCAAGAAATATTTTGGAACTTCAATAGGTGTTGATACAATGAAATTTCTCTTGAATTCAATTTCCTTCAGTTTTTTGAAAACCAAAAATGAATTCAATGATTTTTGATTTTGTTATGGCCGATTGAAATCACAAGTGTAAGATGGATCCCACAATATTTACAAAACGATTCCGTTAAATCAAGTAAATAAGGAAAGAGTATAAGTTTATTATTTTGCGACCAAGTGCAATGAGATCCAGAACGTAACTGAAACCATTATAAGATTCATTATTGTATTTGAATTGAGTGTCATTTACTGCTGTATAGTGGACACTTTTGCTTCAACACATTAACAATTTAAGCGTTTTTCATACCAGGTGTAGATACATCCAGATTTTAAAACTGCAATTACGTGACAAAAGTTTGCTCTAAATGGTTCTAGGGGCATTTGCAGATAAAATTGGATATTTCATATAAATGCAAAGAGAGCATATTGTATCTAAGTCAAGTATATGTTGCCATTCATACAACGATGTATAAAATCGTATATAAAACGAGTTAAATGCCCCTTGAAATGGATAAAACAAATTGTTATCGATTCATTTCGGATCTTATTGAAATGTGCTGTATAATAGTCAAGAGAAACAGAAACAAATGTTCGATTACACACCTGAAACAATAAAAATCTTCAGAAAATATAAATAACTGCTCTGCGATTCCTAGAAGTCCATACAAATCAATTGCAACAAGGACATTTTCACGTTGTCTGAACAACATATGCATTTTTTAATGTCTTGAATCTATTTTCATCGGCAAGAATCGTACGATGTTTAAAGAATTGTCCAAACACGTATGTATAATGATAGAGGTGACCTTTCGTTTTATTTGTACAAGAAAACGTGGCGATGTCCATGAAAGCGTCAATTAGAAATTAAATATGTTCCTTAATAACAATTTTCTTCCAACCTGGTCTCAAGGACGGTGTTAAAACTAAATATGGAAACCATCTATTGATTGAAACACGCGCGGATGTGTTCAAAAGCAATAGAAATTCACATGCACTTGGTGCAATGCATCGAATTTGTAGCTATCAATCAGTACAATACTTGCTATATTCTTTTCTCAAATCTTTTGGATTGTATCATGCAGTGTGGAACGAAGGTTTAAGTCGGTTTATTTTTGAATAAGCATTTAAAATGAGAACTAGGCGACCATCGTCCAAAAAAGATGAAACTAACACCAAAAATAGAGTCAAATAGAGTGCGTAACTCATTTTGAGGGGTAAAGCCTCTACTAAGTAAGCGTACTCCAATACTTGTTTCTGTGTGATCGGTTGGCCGCTGTTAATCTACTTTGAAATGATAAACGTGCCAAAATGCACCAAACTCAAACACAAATCCAAGCACTTGCCATTCAAATTCAGCAACAAAAGTACAACATCAATGATTACAAGAAGTTGATCGAACAGATGACATTATTGAAAGCAGAGGTTTCTGCACTTGAAAACGAGAAACGGCTTGTTCAAGATGAGGAATCTAATCAATTGATCAAATATGCGCGACTTGTAAAAAATGTTTCCAAAACAATCACTGACATCAACAATCGCGGCATGCAAATCATAAAAGTGCTTAATAATTCACGGGAATTCGCTGACTGTTATGCTGTTATGGCGATCGTGGACTGAATAAATTACATTTGCCGGCAACGCCATCATTGAAGCAAGTGGATTGGAATCCAAATATATCGATTTTTTGAAAATTGTCCTCGTTTTCCACTTGTCTTGCATCCCCCCCCACTAAAATATGATATCCAGCGAGGCAAATTTGAAGCGAAGAAATGAAACCAAAATGAGTTCATCATTGATTTTATTTATCCTTTTTCTATGCCGTTCTGTGCTAGCAAAATGATAAAAATGCTTTAAATGTGCACCAATTCTCACAATTAACTTTACTCAAAGGTATCATCTAATCATTTATTCATTTGTTTTTCCATGACACATAAATCTATTTTATGTAGTTGTTAAAAAACCTAGATCAAATGCATGTTGTGAATCAAAGCATGTGTGAAAAGCTGACTCAGCTCTTACAATGGAAAAGTAGTATAAAAGAGAGACCTGTGAAATGCATTCAATCAGTCATATTTCTTAACAGTTACAGTTTACTTCATTTTCGAAAACGATCTCTAGAAACCAGCCAAAAATCAATTTATCATTATTTCCAATTTTCAAAACACGCCGTTTTTATTTTCAATTTGAAAATTTGAGTTTATAATGAAACCAATACCAACTGCACAGCAAATGATGATATGGCTTTGTCAATTGCCTCCGGAAAATTCCACAAGTGTTTGGAAGAAATTGGCATATATTGGCTTTACCATAGTTATGACTTTGGCACAGTTTACTCTGTCGCTTGCATCGGTTGCATTCATTTTAAAGAATGGAACAAATAATTTCGAACAAACCTTATTTGCTGCTTGTGTATTTATTTCCGCGTTGGGGGCGGTCTATATTGAGTTGGAAATAGTTTTTATGCAGCATAGATTTTCCAATATTTTGAAGAATTTGGCAACAATTTATGGCGCAAGTAAGACTACATTTAATTTTAAACAATTATTTTAAAATATAACAGGAAAAAAACTCATCTTTTTCCAATTCACGTTGAATGTAGATAAGCACGAAGATTCATTTCAATTTTTGGAACAAGTGAACAACAAATGTGAATGGATATGGAAGTTTTATTTGAAATGGGTGGTCACCTCAGCCACGGTTTCATTTCCTATTAATGGTATTGCCTCAATAATATTTTGTTACTACTTGCATGGAGAGCTAAATAGAGATCATTTATATATACCATTTTATTTTGTGTGAGTAAAATGTATTCCCAATATTTTTGCATTCCAAATATTTTTAAATCACCAATCAAATTCTTTCAGTTTACCGTGGGATCAAGCAACACTACTTGGATACGGTGGAGAGATATGTACCTACATGTCCTTTGCTGTGTCTTATTATCTTATATGTGGGGTCGTTATGCTGACGTTTATTTCAATGTGCTTTCATCATCAAGCATTTTATGAAATGTTTCGACATGAGCTGCGCAAATTAAATGATCCCGATGAAAATATCAACCAGAAGAAGCTACTCTGCAAAATTATCGAATTCCACAGTTCCGTTAGAGAGTAAGTTATAGTGCTTAAACTCCTATTTTAAGTTCATTAGATATTTAAAAGTAGTTATTTTTTTTTGTCTTTTTAGATGGTTTTTATATTCGTCTGACGTTTATACATTTATTATCATGATCAAACTACTTTACAGCATGCTATGCTTGGCGATTTGCATTTTCGATTTAATGATTGTAACTAACTTCCGCTTTTTAGAAGTAATTCATCAAATACATTTGATTCTTTTCTGTAATATTTTAGCAACTTGAAGATATTGATATCGGTGTCTTCATTTGCTTCATTGGGATAAAGGTATTCATTGCAAATTTGTTTTTGTATTGCTATTTTGGAAAATTAGCTTCCGATAGCTATGAGAAAATGGCAGAATGTCTTTATAATGAATGCAATTGGATTGCGCTACCCAATGATCTTCAAAAGCATATTCTCCTTATGGTTCAAATGTCTCAAAGAGAAATTTTCTACCATGGATTTGGAAACGTTACGATGAATTTGGAAACATTCACTAATGTAAGTTTAACATGATTTAGTTTACTCAAATCGACTCATTTGAGTGCACATTTTTGGTTTTTCCTGTTTTTCTTTCGTTTGTGTACGTATTTGATCTATGCGTACTGACAATTCAAATTATGAAACAGTGGCCAAATTTTGATTTTTTTTTTCTTATGAGTAAATTACTCTACAAATGCAATTCACTTTTAAATACACCGCCAAAGTACTTGGAAGTAATGCTTGATGGATCGATGCATAAACGAGTGGAATTTAAAAAATATTTTAGTCCGCAGAAAAATTAACCAATTTAATCAAAATTATATGATTTGAATTCGAACCATATCGACTTTCGTCAAAAAATTCATGGAAATACACAGAAATTCGGTAGTTTGGGTATGTTTTTTCGGAAGAGCATCTAAAGAGTAATTTTATTCAAAAATGGTAGAATTTAAACTCGAGTTATAACGTACAAATCAAGTTGTTTTCAGATTCCCATACAAACTCTTGGGAAAAACTTCATTTGCAAGGAAAATAATTTTCCTTGGCGAATTTTCCAAAAAGAAAAATATTGTTTTTGCGGATTGGATGCGTGACACAAACTAACCGAAAACGATTTTAAAGCTTGATATATATCAAGCAAAATTGGATTCTAAGCCAATATCCAACCCTTTCTGATTGACATTTTTCCTCTTTTTCAGTTTATGAAGACCACATTCAGCTATATCATGATTTTGAAAACTTTGAATGACAAATAATTCACAACATTGATTTTGTTAATATCAGCACCATAGCCTTGCACCAGCACGACCAAAAGATAACCTTAACTTTAATATGAAAAAAGGAAACCTTTCTTCATTTAAAATGAATTATTTTATTTCATTTTTTCCCCGCGGGAAAATGATAATTGTGAGAACTTCAGACACATGCAGATACAATTTTTTTATGTAATTGATCACGTTGATACAAAGTCAAATAAATTGGTTTTGAAAATCGATTATTTATGGTTTCTTTGATAGATAGTCGTTTAGTTTTCAGAAGTATGCTATTTTTTGACCACTATGATTCATATATTCCTACGATTCATTTTATATAGTGCATATATATTATATGAGCAAAAAAATACCAACCAATTGAAATTCAAAGAAACACACTGATATCGAAAAATATTTCAGTATTCGGCTTGATCATTAAAAAATTAAAAATTCTGAATCTTCAATGCCAATAGTGTTATCACGTCCAGTTGATGTGAAAAATGGCATATGTTGTTATTCGACAAATAACATAGATGCGGGATAGTATTGCCCAAAAGTGACACTTTCATCACTAAAGACTCAATGAATTTTGTCCATTTTCCGGCCTTTTCATTTGCCTCCTCGTAAATTGCCTGTGACACCGTGTTCTCTTTTCCTAGATATTGATTAATTAAAATTAGTGTCTACTCGTTATAATGAGAGTGGTTCGAAAATATTAAGTTTTTCGAAATCAAAGTTGTTCCTACGAATAACCTATGCCAAATGATACCAAGAATCATTTTCAGCCCAGGTGGACCCTTTTTCACAACAATATGACTTGTTGCATTTAGACTATATTTTTTAATAAATATTCAAGATAAAATTCATTATTATGAAAATTAATTGTGTTCTCAATTGAAGAGAGTAGCATTGAAAATATCCCAATATAATTAATTTATTAGACCAATTGCGTTTTGAAAGAGTGAAACTATTCATACACAAAATGTCAACATATTCAGCAAAGTTTGGCAAAATCTAAAACATTATACATGGTGGATATGACTGAATATTTACAGATATTGTCAGATAATCGAACTAACGTAATTTTTGAGATTTAAAAAATAAACATAAATACACTTCCAATGTACTTGGAAGTAAAAAATATTCTCAATCCCCAGGTCCGCAGAAAAATTAACCAATTTAATCATAATTGTATCATTTGAACTCGAGCCATATTAACTTTCGTTTGAAAATTCATGAAAATACAAAAAATGTGGCAGTTTGATGTACTAGAGGCACTTGTCACAAGTACGATCGAGTATTCTGGCTATGTTTTTGGGAAATGACATTTCAAGAGCATTTATAAACTGAGAATTTTAATCAGTATCGTAGAATTAGAACTCGAGTCTCAGTATTGGGCTTAGGAATCTGAAAAAATTGGTTTCAAGTTGATAGCTGATATCTTGATTGAGTTATGCGTGACACAAACAAACAAACTAACCGCACAGCAGCGCAGTTGACATTTGGTCCATCGCGCCAAAAAAAAAAGCAGTGACCGGGTCGCATATAGAATTTTATACTTTGTATAAACGCAGACGCAACATATCCGTCGCTGTTCGCTTCCCTGAAAATAAGTGTCAGCTATGCTGTTGTAGTGACGATTGTATGAAAATACCAATACATTTAAACAATTCTACTACTACCGTTTTTTGTGAGCAAAAATGATTTTAAAGCTTGATGAAAAAAGCGCGGTCAGCCCCTAGGTTATAGGAACAGTAAATGACATAAAATGAAAGGCTGATCTTTTGACGATATTGCTCGATTTCGATTACACTTAAAATCAAACTAACTTTGTGCGTACTTTTTTCTATTACTGCTTCAAATTCCTCAATCAGCTTAAACATGTTAGATGCCTTCCAAAATATTACAATTAAGAACAACAGGTCCACTGTCGATGTAACCAATCCATAAAAGCCATCCGAATATTCTTGAATATTCTTGCATGGTTTGTGCTTCGAATAGAAGGCCCATTACAAAAATGGACACTTATCGTTTGCTTCGCAAATGCCTGAGGCTGATGAACGCTCAAATTTTCAAAGACTTTTCGCGTCGTTTGAAAAAATTTCATAATTTCGTTTCTCATTATTTTTGTTTCAATTTGAATTTGAAATGATAGGCAGACGTTTCGGGGTTCAAAGTTTTAGAAAAAATGAATTTTAATTGAATTTTGTCAAAATATTTTGGAACTTCAATAAGTGCGAAATTGCGAAATTTCTCTTGAACCAAAAATGAACTCAATGATTTTGTTATGACCGATTGAAATCACAAGTGTGAAAAAATTGATTACACAATATTAACAAAACGAAATCGTTAATTTAAGTAAATAAGGAACGAATTTAAGAAAGTATTTTTTTGTCAAAAAAAAGAGAGAATATTTGCGACCAAGTACAATGAGATCCAGAGAGTAACTGAAACCATTATACGATTCTATTCGAAATGAATGACATTTATAACTGCACAGTGCACTGCACACGCATGCTTCAAAACATTAACAATGTAAGTATTATTCATACCACGTAAAAATACAGCGAGAATTGGAAACTTAAAACTGCAATTACGTGACAAAAGTTTGCTCTAAATGGTTCCAAGGGTATTTGGAGATGAATGTATATTTCATATAAATGCAAACAGAGTATATTGTGTTTTGTATATAAGCCACATTATATATTTGCATCGTATGGTACAAGTTAAATGCCCCTTGAAATGGATAAAACAAATGGTTATCGATTCATTTCGGATTTTATTGAAATGTGCTGCATCGGTTAAGAAAAACTAGAACAAATTTTCGATGAAATACAGTTCTCCTATGCACAACTGAATCAACAAAAACCTTCAGAAAATATAAATAACTGCCTAGTGGGCTTGGGAACTCCAAAAAGTCCGATACAAATCAATTGCAACGAGGATATTTTCACGTGGTCTAAACAACATAAGCATTTTTTTAATGTTTTTGGTTTATTTTCAGTGGCGAGCATCGTACGATATTAAATAATTGTCCAAACACGTATGTAAAATGATTAAGGTGACCTTTTTGTTCTCAATTCATGTCCTTCGTTTTATTTGTACGAGAAGACATGGCGATATCCATAAAGGTATCAAATACTAGAAATTAAATTTATTCGTCAATAAAAAAATTTCCTCCAGCCTTCACGGTTTAAAGGCGGAATATGTGGAACAACCAATGGACAATATGGAAGAACATATTGTTTGAAACACGCGTAGATGTGTTCAAAAGCAATACAAATTCAAATGCACTTATTTCAATGCATTGAATTTGTATCTATACATCAGTGCTTTATTCTTTTCTAGAATATTTTAGATCATAGTAGCATGGAGCGAGGATCGAAGGTTTAAATTACTAGAAAACTAAAAAATCTAAGAAAAATTAGCAATACTAAAGCCTGTGTCTCCCCCTAGAAATTATGCTATTTTTAAATCAGCAATTAAAAGGGAAACTGATCGACAATCATTATCAACAAAGGTTTTATTTGAATGGATGAAACACACGAGCAAATTTTTATCGAACATTGAATTGCAATTCAATTGCATTTTATTGAAAACTGCATTATCATTCGAGAAACCAAATTGAAAGTTGAAAGTGACTGTCGTGAAGAAGCACAGTTTTTCAATGCACAATCGTTGAATTCTTTTTTTTCAATTTTTCAATTTTCAATTCACCTTTATTTGTAAATTTCTTAAGACTAAACATTAAATAGAAAAAGGTATAAACTAGTGTTTTAATTATAAATTAGCTTTGCA